TGGGTAAAAACTGTCATTAAAGAGCAATAACTCCAGTAAAGAGCCTTAGGACAATTTCTGCAATGTTAACTTGTAGATCTTGTCTTGCTGATAATCTTTGCTATAAAAAGTTTCTCTCTATCTATTATAATTTTCAAGATAATAGGCAAAATTGAAAAAGAAATTGGTAAAATTTGTCATTTCAGGGCAATAGCACCTACAAGAAGTTGTCTGACAGTTTTGAAATTAATAGGTAGATCTCAACATTCTTAACATGAATTTTTTGCCCAGTCCAATTTTCTCTATTCATAGTGGTTTTCTAGATAATAATACACAAGAGTGCACGAGCTGAAATGTCTTGCCTGTTTTACTTATCATTGATTTTATGTTGAAAATCTGTAATATGAAGGTTTAATTACAAGTTTCACATAAACTTAACTATTTTTAATGTTTTATGAAAATGAGGTCACAGTTAGATGAACCTGCCAGACTGACATGTAAATCTTACAATCATTCCATACACGGTCATATCAGTCATATCAGTAATAGTACCAGAGAAACAGACGAAACCACAAAATCTTTGACACTGATAATGATTAACAGCATAAAAATGAGGTTAAGGTCATATGAACCTTATATAGTATTTGATAAACTGACAAGATCACGAAAAACTAATAATCATTGACCAATGAACCATGAAATCGAGGTCAAGGTCATATGAACACTGCCAGACAGACATGTACACCTTATAATTAATCCATACACCAAATGTAATTGACCTATTGCTTATAATATCCGAGATATAGACAGAATCACAAATCTAAACATTGTCCAATGAACCATGAAAATGAGGTCAAGGTCAGATGAACCTGACAGACGGACATGTACACCTTACAATCATTCCATATACCAAATATAGTGGCCCCATTGATTATAGTATCTGAGATATATACCAAACTGCAAAAAATTAACTTTATCCAATGAACCATGATCAGATAAAACCTGCCAGTTGGATATGTACACCTTACAATCATTCCATATACTTAATGTAGTTGACCTAATCCTTATAGTATCTGAGATACGGACTTGACCACGTAACTTTAAACTTGATCACTGATCCATGAAATGAGGTCAAGGTCATGTGAACCGTACCTGACGGACATGTTAGATGTTGCAAGGAACCCATCTACCAAATAAAGTTATCCTATTACATCTGTGTTTTTTGTACTCATAAGAGGTAAGTATTTCACTTGACAAAAATTTTTTTTTTTTTTTTCAAGCAGTCACTGAACCATGGAAATGAGGTCAAGGACAATGAACATGTAACACAAGAGTGCACACGCTGATATGTCTCACCTTCTTTACTAACGGTACCACCAATGAACCATGAAAGTGAGGTCAAGGTCAGATGATACCTGCCAGACAGACATATACACCTTACAATCCTTCCATATAACAAATATAGTTGATCTATTGCTTATAGTTGAAGAAAAACAGACCAAAACACAAAACTTAACACTGAGAAATGAACCCTGAAAATAAGGTCAAGGTCTAATAAAACCTATGAGACTGACATGTACATCATAAAATATTTCCATACACCAAATATAGTTGACCTATTGCATATAGTATTAGAAAAAAAGACCAAAACTCAAAAACTTTACTTTGACCACTGAACCATGAAAATGAGGTCAAGATCAGATGACACTTACCAGTTGGACATGTACACCTTACAATCATTCCATATACCAAATATAGTAGATCTACTGCTTATAGTATCTGATATATGGACTTGACCACCAAAACTTAACCTTGTTCACTGATCCATGAAATGAGGTCTAGGTCAAATGAAAATTGTCTGATGGGCATGAGGACCTTGCAAGATACGCACATACTAAATATAGTTATCCTATTACTCATAATAAGAAAGAAATTAACATTACAAAAGATGTTGACTTTTTTTTCAAGTAGTCACTGAACCATGAAAATGAGGTCAAGGACAATGGACATATGACAGACGGAAACTTCGTAACATAAGGCATCTATATACAATGTATGAAGCATCCAGGTCTTCTAGCTTCTAAAATATAAAGCTTTTAAGAAGTTAGCTAAAGCCGCCGTAGCCGCCACTGGATCACTATCCCTATGTCGAGCTTTCTGCGACAAAAGTCGCAGGCTCGACAAAAAGGAAACTTCTTAACATAAGGTATCTGCATACAAGGTATAAAGCATCCAGGTCTTCTACTGTCTCAAATATAAAGCTTTAAACAAAGCGGGATTGTAAGACCTATTTTTCATCGCAAGAGAGACATAAACTTGCATATTAATAAATATAAGAAGATGTTGTATGAGTGTCAATTATCCCTATGTTCAATTTTTATCCATGACAACCATGTTAGTTGGCAGGCGGTCCATCCAACACATTTTTTATACTAGATAACCCAATGCTAATTGGGGTCAAGTTTGGTTAAATTTTGCCTAGAAGTTTCAGAAGTAAAATTTTGGTAAAAGTTAATGGAAGATGAAGATGAACAACAGATGGATGACATACAACAATTGATAATAAAAGCTCCCTTGGCCCTGTGGTCCAGGTGAGCTCAAAATGGTCAAAGTCACAAAGTTCCTGTTAAAATTGTTAATATCATATGGCCCAGAAAATATAATGACTACCACGGTATATAAGTTTTCTATCAAACAGTCTCTGAGTATTGTTGTGGTTCTGACAGAAAGTCAGACTGAAACATGAATACTTTTACTATATACCCCACAGTGAAAGCAACAGGGGAACAAAAAAAAAAGGTCTCTGCAAGAAACAGTGAACAATTGATGATCATCACAATGACAACCTCAGTTGGAAAATCTTTTTTACATACAACAAAGATGATATTCTCATGATAAACAAGTGCATAACAGTTACATGTATCATTGAGCTACCGTTAGTGGTTCCCCTTAAACTGATGTATCACAATTCAACTTTACATGTAAACTATGCAATAGTTTCAGAATCAATTGAGCGTGACTGAGTGGTAGGGCCATATAATCTCCAAGGAAATTAAATGTGCCAATACTAATAGAACTGCATGCCAAACATCATTGACTTAAAATTAGCACTGGAAACAACATACCCAAGTTTCCCTTTCACCACTTCGTTGTGGCTAAACAAAATGCACAATGCCATTAGATACAAATGATGAAAATTTCTTTAAAATCTACTCACAGGTTAAGAAGCTAGGTATAAAAAGTGTGGATGGAATAAAATGCGAACTAAAAGATTTCTTCAGTATGCAGGGGTATAATAAGGAACAACATGTTATTTAAAACTACATTGTACTATATTCTCTTCATAAAAAAAAATGCATAACCGACAGAAACAATGTTCTTGGGATTCCTAATAAAAACAAAGAGTCGCTGCCATCAAATTGTGTTCAGTTCTGTTAAAATCTTGTCAAACAAACAATTAATAAACAATTAAAAAACAAATGAAACATTGATATTATGTTGATAGTCCTAAATATAAAGCTTTATTACAACTGTCACATAAACTTCACATTAACCAAGTAAACTAAACATTGACCAATGAACCATGAAAATGAGGTCAAGGTCAGATGAACCATGCTAGGCAGGCATGTACAGCTAACAATTCTTCCATACAACAAATATAGTTGACCTATTGCTAATAGTTGAAGACAAACAGACCAAAACACAAAAACTTAACACTGAGCAATGAACCTTGAAAATGAGGTCAAGGTCAAATAAAACCTGCGTGACTGACATATAGATCATAAAATATTTCCATACACCAAATATAGTTGAACTATTGCATATATTATTAGAAAAAAAGACCAAAACTCAAAAACTTAACTTTGACCACTGAACCATGAAAATGAGGTCAAGGTCAGATGACACCTGCCAGCTAGACATGTACACCTTACAATCATTCCATACACCAAATATAGTAGACCTATTGCATACAGTATAAGAAAAACTGAACTATAACCACTGAAGCATGAAAATGAGGTCAAGGTCAGATGACACCTGCCAGTTGGACATGTACACCTTACAGTCCTTCCATACGCTGAATATACTAGACCTATTGCTTAAGGTATCAGAGATATGGACTTGACCACCAAAACTTAACCTTGTTCACTGATCCATGAAATGAGGTCGAGGTCAAGTGAAAACTGTCTGACGGGCATGAGGACCTTGCAAGGTACGCACATACCAAATATAGTTATCCTATTACTTATAATAAGAGGGAATTTAACATTACAAAAAATCTTAACTTTTTTTTCAAGTAGTCACTGAACCATGAAAATGAGGTCAAGGACATTGGACATGTGACTGACGGAAACTTCATAACATAAGGCATCCATATACAAAGTATGAAGCATCCAGATCTTCCACCTTCTAAAATAAAAAGCATTTAAGAAGTTAGCTAACGCCGCCGCCGCCGGATCACTATTCCTATGTCGAGCTTTCTGCGACAAAAGTCGCAGGCTCGACAAAAAATCAAACTGAAAATATGGTAGAAGAATGTACAATTGAGGATACATTTAAATCATTCATTTTTAGGTTCAAATAAAGTCTGGAGAGGTGTGATAATAATGTCAATGAAATTAATTCATATCAGAACATATTAACTTGTCTTGAAATTATGATGAATTCCAAATTAATAAATTCCTTGAAGACAATCAAATCAGCATTATTTTCGATAAGCCAGCACACATGTGGAAGAAATGTCTATTTGAAGATGAGTTGAAGAAATTCTATTCGGCTTTGAGACTCATAAATCTGAATGATTTGTATTGCTCAGTATTATAATCATGCAACTGATAGCAGACAACTTGTGAAGGAACTTATGCTTTATAATTCTTCATCTAAGAGCAGGAATAAAAGGATGGGGTATATATCTATATAGCAACATTCCATCAACATAAAAAAAAAGATGAGGTTATCATATGACATAATTGATAAGGTCTAGAATTAATATATCACAAACTATGATGCATAAGAATACTTACTGTAAAACTTGATCCAGAAATCTGTACATACAAGTGGAATGTTTCAAGGGATATGTCATCTTACTCTTTTTTCTTCATTACATTTCTAACCTGTAATTATAACATGTAATCCTGAAAATGGAGTATACAAAGCAAAGCATGTTTTGTGAAATTTTGATTGATTTTGGAACATTCAAATACGAAATAAAAGATGGATTTTTGTTTGTTTTGTAGGATTCTTATAACAGCTCAATTTTCAAAAGTTACTCACTTTCCTTAGAGATTTTTTTTTAACCCAAAATAAGTTAACAGATGTATTGTTATTCATTTGCATAAGGTCGTTATCTAAACGACGCAGCTCAAATGTAACTATTACAGCACATACAGATGTATGACCAGTTTACATAGGATTTACAGGGTTTGTGTTGCTCAGTCTTTAGTTTTCTATGTTGTATTTTGTATACTCTTGTTTGCCTTTAGGTCTTTTTTCTTTTTTTTGCCATGGTGAGTTTATTGATGACTAATGAGTGGTATCTTTTATCTCTGTTTCATGATTTCAATTTAAAATAAAATTCTCAATATCACAGTTTTATATTCGAACACATTTTTCACTATCCAATGGTTATGATCCAGTCCCCTCCTCTCCACCCTTGGCAGATTAAGCCAACATTTGTGATTACATTGCTGCGCCATCTACTGGTAGATAAAAGTCACGCCCATTCCTACTACATCATAGCATATCAGTGTAGAGGTGTAGAGGTGTGAAATTGGTTATCTAGTGTTTACAAATTTCATGAAGCAGGAACCGCAAATATACATTGACATTCCAACAGTTGCTTGAGAATATTACCCTGATTTGAGTTGATTAAGAACTTTAAAATTGTCACTAATTAGGTCTTTCCACTTTTCCGTGGAAAAACCTTTTGCTTTTGTTCTTTTTTTTTTTTTTTTTCTCCCACCTAATTTTTTTCCTTTACTGTTTGGTTCTTGCACAAGATGTCACTTAGATATTTGATATTTGATATTGAACATTTATACGCTTTTGAAACTGACACCGCTCAACCGAATACTTTTCCTTGTAAGAGTTATCTCCCCAAACACTGTTTTCTTGTTATTTCTAATACTTTGCAACCGTAGAAGAAACTGACAAATTTATTTTTCCAAATTGCTCGTAAAATCCTAAGGATGTTTTGTTGAGTTTTGACCGAAGCATTCCATAGACTCCATATGAGAGTATTTAAAATAAGTGAAATGTAATTGAAACTGGTAAACCATTGATGATAGAGACCTAGGGTCTTTTGATTTGAGGTCTTTGGTCCACTTAAAGAAAAATAAGGTCAAGGTCAAAGGTCGAGGTCATGTTCTAAATTTTGATTTCTGCTTATTATCGCTTATCATAAGAAACCATATATGTTATTGACAAAATGTTTTTACTAAATGGTTAGTTGCACAATGTCATAAAACATAAATTTTTGGTTGAAAGGGTAGGACGACATTTAATGGAAGTTTTCTCCCCTTGTTTATACATGTATACATCTAGGTGTATGGTGATTTAACTTATTTACAATATATTTAACTTATTAACAATATATAATAGACCAAGGGTCTTTTGATTTGAGGTCCTTCCTTTATGACCTTGAAACTAGGGTCAAGGTCAAATTTTATTTTGACATTCTAGATTTTGACCTTTACTATAACTTACCAAGTCTAAGGGTCCTCTACATTGGGTTGCAGACATATGACCTTGAAGAAGGTCAAACAGAAGTGACCTTTTGCAAACAGGAAGTAGCAATTTTTGCATAATTTTCCTGTCAAAGTTAACTTTTTTTTTAATCAGTGTTAAGTTAGGTAAAAAATTAAACCAGAAGTGAAATTTTGTAAACCAGAAGTACCTTCTAACTATCTACCTTATTACAAGCAAATGTGAAAATAAGGAAATGTGGTATGATTGCCAATGAGACTAATCCACCAAAGTTCAAATAAAGTGGATGTAAGAAATTATATAATTAAACATGCCTGCTATTGTATATTATTAAATAGTTATATTTATGTTTGATGTTGACATTTTATGAGATAAATCTATTGATATATATCTATTATCATCCATCTATTATGGCTGTCGAACTACGAAAATTGCAGAATTCTCTCCGACTTTATTTTATACTTTAGAAACTTCTAGTGGTTTTTGTGAGGTTCCTTCTTTCATTCTTATGTATAACGTTGGTAGACTTTGAGCTGTTTGAATAGATAATCCTAGTATACACATTTGAAAAAGACTGAGAGTATCGTCATTCATCGTTCAAAAGTTATTAATATCATCTACATCCTAGAAGGCTTGATCTTGTTTATAATTAGGTCTCTACTTTTCCGTGGAAAGACCTCTTGGTTTTGTTCTGATTATTATTTTTTTTTTTTTTTTTTCGCCAAATTTTTTTCTTACGCTGTATTTTTGTTTCAAAAGATGTCGCTTAGAGTTTTTGTATATAATATCATACAGTCTATACGCTTTTGAAACTGACCCTGTTTAACCGAACACTTTTCTTTGTAAGAGTTATCTCCCTAAATACTGTTTTTCTTGTTATGAGATCTCCTTCGCAACCGTAAAAGAAAGTGACAAATTTATATTTCCAAATTGCTCATTATATCCTCAGTATGTTACGTTTTATTTTGACCGAAGTCTTACGAAGACTCCATATGAGAGTTATTCGCCCTTATGTATTTGAAATAAGTGATATGTATTTGTAACTTGTAAACTATAAGTGATAGAGACCTAGGGTGTTTTGATTTGAGGTCCTTGGTCCACTAAAAGAAAAATTAGGTCAAGGTCAAAGGTCAAGGTCATGTTCTAAATTTGATTTTGGCTTGTTAATACTTATTATCAGAAGCCGTATAAGATATCGACAAAATATTTTTACTAAATTGTTATATGCGACATGTCGTTACACATAAATTTTGGTTGAACGGGTACGTTGACATAAAATGGGAGTTTTCTCCCCTCTCATATTTAAAACTAGCTGTATGATGATATAACTCATTAACCATATATAGTACAGACCTAGGGTCTTTCTATTTGAGGTCCTTAATTTATGACCTTGAAATTTAGATCAAGGTCATAAGTAAATTTGACATTCTAGATTTTTACCTTTGCTTTTAACTTTATATTTGTAAATATTAGAGCCATGGAACTTCTTGCATTAAGTTGCAAGCCATATGACCTTGTAAAAGCCAACCAGAAGTGACCTTGTGTGAACCGGAAGAAGCTATTTTTTGTACTTTTTTTATGTAAAAGTATATAGAACCATATGGGTATCAGCATCAATTAAACTATCATTTTATACCTGAAGTGACATTTTTTCAAACCGGAAGTAACAAATTATCTCCCTTATTTCAAACAAAAGTGTATTGAAACCATATATTTTTGGAATCAGCAAACAGTTAGCTATCATCTGACACTGGAAATGACATTTTAAACTCGATTTTTATATTTTCTTATCAAAATACATGTTTTTTTAGGTGGAAAGACCTTCAATTGTTCTCTGAACAAATGGTTTTTAATTCTAATATGTCGTTCTTCTTTGGCTTTGGATACAAGCCATCTTCTTATTCCAATAAAACATGAGCTGCACGTGATTGACGTCACAATTGAAAGTGCAACGTCAGTTGAATTTTAAGCAACGCCTGAGATCAAAATGGACATTGGTGTTGGTGTTGCTCGCTAGGAAATTAAATAAATTCATTCTAAAAGTAAGTTTACATGTATCCGTTCATTTTTTATCGTTAAACTTATGATTTTCTATAACGTTTTTTGTTCATCAAATCAGAATGGCAGCCTTTCAAGCATGTATTATAGGTCCGCTTCGAAGTACAAGAGTTCAAAATTTTCCTATTAGAATCAATACAATTCTATCATGCTATGCTCTATGCTCATTTTAACATGGGTAGGCATTATATTTGTCAACATTTAACACCTCATGTTCACAGATTGACTCAAATTCTCATATTTGATTTATAAAATACTAAAACGTATATCCAAATTACCAAAAGTCTAAAATAAATAATTAACAATGCATGGTATGTATCAGCATTATGTGTATATTTTAGTCTAGACGCCATCTAATTAACCATCTGGATGACCTCTGAAGACTGCACACGGTCATACAAACCGATACAAACATAAATATATATAGCGGGCACGTGCAATTTGATTTTTCTAGGTCTGTTTGATTTCATGTTTTAAAAATACGTAAATCATTGTTTTTACCTGTATAAGAATGATTTTTTGTGGATCGAATAAGTTAATGAATTGGTTCACCCTTGATTCACTTTCAATGTTAACATTCTCTTCCTATTAACAACTGAACACACCTAGTACATGCGTAACCAATCTCCAGCTAAGGGGTTAAATTGAAGGTTGAAATTGAAAACAGATTCAAAGAGGTTAAATTATTAACTTGCAAATCAATAATGCATCAGTGATGTTTTGGAGCTTATTTTGACAAATTTGGGCCAAACTGACTGCTTATGACAAAATTTTATTTGAAAATTTTGCTTTTATTAGTTCTTGAAACAAAAAAGAATCGTAATTTAATTTTTTGTATAAATTGTAGCTAATGGCCCTTAATAAATATTCATCTATTCTCTATAATATTGAAATTCCAAAAGGTTTTATTAACTTTCCTATTTTAACCTCAAGTTGAACAAAAACTATAGGGGAAATACTATGCATTGGTATTTTCAAAAAAATGCAACTGCTAAACAAAACAACTAAAACAAGTATCCTTGAAACATAAAAAAGAGAAGGGCCTGCAAATTGGCCTTCAAATCAATTTATTTTAATTTTTCTCCAGTTTGCAGACTTGATGTTGAATTTATGTTCTTCAATAAAACATATGAATAATAGAAGATTTGATTTTAGCAAAAAGCATTTCCTATTTACATGTCAAATAGCCATGATTTCATGGTAGAAACAGTAAAATGACAAAATTATACAAAATCTTGAGCATTTGAATTAAACATGGAGAGAAATTATATACAGCACATGTCATATAAAAATAAGAAGATGTGGTATGATTGCCAATGAGACAACTCTCACCCAGAACACAAATGGCATA